TTGAGATGGAGTCTCACTCTGTCTCCCAGGCTGGAGTGCAGTGGCCGGATCTCAGCTCACTGTAAGCTCCGCCTCCGGGTTTACGCCATTCTCCTGCCTCAGCCTCCCAAGTAGCTGGGACTACAGGCACCCACCACCTCGCCCGGCTAGTTTTTTGTATTTTTTTTAGTAGAGACGAGGTTTCACCGTGTTCGCCAGGATGGTCTCGATCTCCTGACCTCATGATCCGCCCGTCTCAGCCTCCCAAAGTTCTGGGATTACAGGCTTGAGCCACCGCGCCCGGCTATATTTACTTTCTTGTTGGGAGTTTATTACAATTGTTTCTCTCAAGCAGATTGTGACATTATTATTATTTTCTTGTTTCAAATCTTTATGTTCAAAAATTCCCAGTTTGTATAATAGCAACTGAGGTTAAAGTAATATTTCCAATTTCTGTAGTCTCTGAAATGATACAAAATAGCCCCACCTACTAAACTGACTTTGAGGCTACTCTTTTAAGAGAGTGGAGGGGTAAAAGTGAAGGAAATGAAAAGACCTTATAGAGGCATTCTTCCCTGCTTGATGTGATCTTTACTTAATATTTTCAATATATATATGATGATTCAGGAATAATATGTATTCAGTGAATGATTCTTTTGTTCAATGTTTATTGCTACTTCTCTGTGCTAGGCACTTTACAAGGTATAACCACGCAAATCATAAAGATGGTCATCGTTCATGGCTGTTGAGGACTCATGAGCAAGGCTGCAGCTGTAAGAATTTGTTATGGGACAAATTGAATAACAATCTGAAGCATTTACTTCCACCACTCTAAATCTTGGCTTAAAGTGTACTGTTTCCTCCAATGCCAAATTACTAGCAATTTTTCAAATATTGGAAATATGAAGGCCCCTTAACAGTATTGAAAAAAGCTTCTTTTATTTGAGCAAAAGAGTGTAGTTCTCAGAAATGGTAGTTTGTTTGATATGATTAATTCTGTGAACAAATGAGTTTGGTGGCAGCTTTGAGGGCATGGCGATACATTAGCATTTGCAGAGTGCTTTCATCCATAATAGAGGTAATACAAAACTTGGTTGGTCTGCAAAGCAATAGAATTTGAAATGCCTGTGATTATCTTCAAAATCACACTGGGAATGCATGTGAATAAAAAAGCAGAGATGGAAAGGGAAAAGGGGAAAGAATCTATTTAAGATTACTAAATTGCTATCTGTTTTGATAAGGTAATTGGCCAGAAAATTAAGTGCTCTGTGGAGAACAAAGCTGTGTTCTGTAATCTGGTACAGCCAAATGTCATTTTTATTCAATACACACAGGAATATAAAGAACAAACAAGAAGGCAAAGAAAAAAAAAAGTTACAGGAAAAATAAGCTCAATAAAAGAAGTAAGACTATTTAAAGAATAGTTAAGTATTTGTATTTGAATCTTTAGTATTGAATATGTGGTATAAAAATGTGCCTTCTCCCTGGGTGCTCCCTGAGTACATTCCATTCTCTGTCATCCTTAGCTAGGAGAGGTTTCATTAAAATGAAGTCTGGGCACAGTGGCTCACATCTGTAATCCCAACACTTTGGGAGGCTGAGGTGGGCATATCACTTCAGGTCAGGAGTTCAAGACCAGCCTGGCCAACAAGGTGAAACCCCATCTCTAATCTAAAAAAAATACAAAAATTAGCCGGGCAAGGTGGCGTGCACCTGTAATCCCAGCTACTCAGGAGGCTGAGACAGGAGAATCACTTGAACCCAGGAGGCAGAGGTTGCAGTGAGCCAAGAT